GCTTCACCAGAGACAGAGCGGGGAACAGAACAGGCAGATCGACGAAGTACACTGCTGAGGGGAGCAGCGGGCGGGCCAGTAGAGGTCTGCCACGCCATGTGGTCACCTCCAGGGCAGGCGGGAATCGAACTCATGCGGAAGCGGCCCCAGACTCTCAGTGCTGTGCTTCAACCCTGCGCCACCAGGGAGGGCCCACCCCATAGATATTTTAAAGCAAACTAGTATAATAAAAAGAACAAAGAATTTCACAATGAAATCTACATTTCAATACAGGGTCAGGTAGCAGAGAATTTTCACTTCCTGATTTGCACATCTGTGGGTGGTTATGTTATTATTATTATTGTTGTTGTTGCAGATGCCAAAATCTAAGAAATTCTGTTTCTTCTGTATAAAATGAAACACGGTCATCTGATGGGGAATCACTAAAAAAAAAAGAAGAAATTAAGGAGAGCAGTGAAGGTATAAATAGCTGCCGTGGTGATTAGAAGAGGGACAGATCAGGAACCCACAAAATGTTGCTTCTTGGTAATAACAGCTTGGTTGGGACTGAACGTTTAGTGGCATTCATTATGAGTTTTTCACTGGCTGTTTGAATGGAGGAATAGAAAAAAAAAATTTGAAATAATGCAAAAATGGATGCAAGGGTAGTGGAGTGAAAAACCATTAGACTAGGTAAGTAAATTCCACAAGGGGGCCTGATTAGGAAATAATGGAGAAATTGCAATTAGATCACAGAACAAGAACAGTGAGAACAAACAGAGTGGGGATGAGGTTGGAAATGCTGGAATTAAGAGATTACAGACAACTATGGAGTATATTAAGTTAACATTAAGGAGTTGATAGCTTTGCTCTTTATTGCCTTTTTTTTACATAAGTGTGAAGCACCATCAAGACTGATTGTACCCCAGTCGTCCCCTCCCTGACTCTCCTGGTAGGCAAGAACACATATTTTTGTTTACATATTTTACTGTATATGCTGGTAAATCAGAAAACAGAACAAAACAACTTAGGGAGATGAATGAAACTCCAGAACACCCCAGAATTCTTACAGTCTGCACCTCTGTTCTGGGGCTATGTACTTTATAGAAAGCAGTGCCTTCATCCGTTTTCCCTAAGTAGCTCCTCCATGACCTGAAGCCCCACCCCAAATTCCTTCTTATAACAATCTATGAAAAACGTTATGGGCAGATGCATACTGACTCAAGTCAATTAAATTAGGCATTTAAGTTAAGGACAGCTAGCTGGAAAGTCCATTCTCTGGGCAGGATCCATCTTCCTTTCACTACTGCCAAACTTTAAGCTGATGCTAGAATTGTACCCACAGACCCTGCTTTGACCATAGCACTGCAATGTTAGTTTTCCTTCTCACTGAGAATGGGATTCTCAGCCGCCAGGGCTGAAGCCAGCAGATATGCACTAACTGACAAAACCAAGGATGTTGCCAAAAAAGTGGATGATGCTTCCCTAACCAGACTGTAAGCCAAACAAGAGTATATAAGTGGGTTTATTTGGCTCCAGGAGGAGCAATGGTACCCAGCTCTCAAGTAACAACCTCACTCTATACAGGCTTCACTCAGCTCAGGTCCACTGGCTCCTTCAATCTGAGGGTCCACACAGCGCCTCGTCTTCTCGAGTTAGGGATGGCTAACTGCCAGGTGGTGAGTTTCCCGGCTGTTCAGAGGCAACACCAGGCACAGCTGAAGCAGCCTCGTAGTCTGCGATGCGGCGCTGTACCAAGGCCGGCATGAGCTGCACGTAAGCGGCCATGAGGCGGTGGTTAGAATGGATCAGCTTCCCAGCACAACTGTGCAAACAGGCCTCCTGGAAGTAAGACAGGGTAGAGGGAGCGGCCGAAGTGTCCAAAACGGTCTGTCTGCTTCCTTCCCACCCCCAGTCTAGGGGCGAGGGTCTGGAAAGGCCCGGCTGAAGCAGGGTAGTGGGGAGAGGAAGGAAGCAGGCCAGGTTAACTCTGGGGTGGGTGTGGAGGGTAATCGCCTCCTCAGTGCCCACCTCTTCAGCGTCCAGAGCTCGGTGGTGCAGGCTGGGCACGCAGCGCTGGAAGCAGAGTTCGGTCATGCGATTGTAGACCAACAGGAAGTCCCGCAACTGCCAGAAAAGGGAGCCCACACGTCAACTTAAGGCCGCCCCGCCGGTGGTTTCCCGAGCCGGCGCGCCAAGCCCATGTACCCAGCCCTCAGAGCCCTGGTCTGGAAGCTCCCGCGGTGTGGACGCGGAGGAGAGCCGAACGTATGGCCCTAAAGCGCGTTAGGTCCCACTCACATTTCTCAGCTGCTGCTGCTGCTGCTGCTGCTGTTCCATCGCGCCACCGGCGCAAACCCGCCGTCATTTCCGTTACAGCGTCTCGGTAACGCCCCGGAACTAATCTTTCCCCTCTTCTCGGAGGCTGAGGGGTCGATTCAAGGATTGCCCTGCCTCCGCTGTAGACGTCACTTCCGCCCTTATAATCTGCGACGTGGCCGGCTTCTTCTGCCCGGGAGAGGACGTCACTTCCGCCGAGTCCCTGACCTGCTGCTAGGATCGCGACGGGGACTGGAGCCCGAGGTCCCCGTGCGGCCAGGGCCTGGCGCCCCGAAGGGACGAGAGGCCCTGTCCGAGGTGAGAGGCGCGCACTCGGGCAGGGACGAGTTGAATGCATGAAGCTGTCTTGGGGCATGATGCCTCTGTGGTCTAGGGAAGGATGAGGACACACCTGATGCCCAGGTGTAAGGGGGGGGAGGGGCCGGACTCTCACCTGGGGAGACATAACTCGCCTAGGTTCTGGAAACAGGCTTTTCCCAGGGGCGGGAGATCATACACCTATTGATTCAACTAAAGCCTGTTGGGGAGGGCCTGAGAAGAGGAGGTGCATGGGATGGAGGAGGGGAGAACACCTGGAGGAAAGAGGAGGAAAACTCGAATGGAGTGAAAGGTCAAACAGTGGAGAAAAAAACAGTGTTGAATGGGGTTTGGGCACCTGAGTCCTGGGAAGGGATTCATCTCCTGACAGGGGAAACTCATGAGTGGGGATAAGCTTCAAGAGAACAGACTTTCTCTCTTGTTCGCTACTGTATGTGCGTGACGTGGGCATCAGTATGGGCATCTGCTAGATGGTGAATGTATGAATGCTCACTGGAGACCTGGTGGGGTTGGAGGATCATAAGACACTTGAGGCCTGAATATGCTTGTGTAAAAATAAAGTGTCTTGGAAGGGGGATTTGCACAAACTTGAGGAAAAGCGTGATAGGCAAACCCCCAGAAAACTCAAGCCCTGAGACAACCTCTAAAACCTCAGAACTGATAGGGGAGGCGTTACTCTTCTAGACTACTGGCCAGTTTCCAGAACTGCCTGTGTTGGGCTTTGCAGGGCACTGGGGTGGAGACTTTGACTCCAGTCCCTTCCCTAGCCATGACGGACGGGATCCTAGGGAAGGCAGCCACAATGGAGATCCCCATCCACGGGAACGGTGAAGCTGGACAGCTACCTGAGGATGATGGGCTGGAGCAGGTGCTTCTGTTTGATTCTCTTCTGTGTTGTTTCAATTTAGGAATCCCAACTCAAAGTGTGGGCTCTCGCCCCTAATTCCAGTAGCCTTCCCCTGACATAATCTAATTCCCTTCAATGTTTTTACAAATCTTCATTTTGATTCTGTGCAGACTTCCCTTGTGTGCTCTCTCTATGATGCTTCAATCCAAGCTTGTTCTCACCCCCAAATGCTTCAGCTGCCCCTATGTTCCTGAAGCCCCCTCTTCTCTGGCCTATAGGACCTCCAGCAGGTGATGGTGTCAGGACCAAACCTCAATGAAACCAGCATTGTGTCTGGTGGCTATGGGGGCTCTGGTGATGGACTCATCCCCACAGGTATGAATGATCAGAACAGGACATGAAGCTTGAGAGGGGGAGAGAGTGGTTCTGGGAACATAGGATGTTTTAGAAAGCCTTCGCTATGTCTGGAAATCTTGGGAACCTCTGCTGGTATGAACCTGATGGCTCCTTAGCCCAAGGCCAGCTCCCAGGGTAGTCCATCTGCTTTCAATTGCCATTTAGCTCCTAAGGTGCATTGATGTGGAACTTTGAGAAGCTTCTCAGAGTTCTATTTTTGCCTCTAAAGTCTGACTAAGACACCACAAAGGAATGTCAACCAGATTTCCTGTCATCAGAACCCAGACTTCAAACACACACACACAACTGTCTCTCTCTCTCTCTCTCTCATCATATTTTCTTCAGTTTCCTCTGCCCAGTAACGCCCTCCTCCCTCTCCCCACTTCCTACCACCATCTTAGAAGGAGGCAGATGTGTGTTGGGATCTGGGTCTCAGGACCTAGGGTATGGTGAAAACCTCCTAGTGTGGAGAAGAATCTACCTGCTCCTAGCTTTTGCCCCTTGAGAAGAGTCATTTTCATGTGCTGGTAGGGAAGTAGATGTAGAGCCACAGAGGTGGTATCTGCTTGTATCTGAGAGAGTCTGGTGTCAGAGAACTTGGTCCTTTAGGGTCTGGCCGCCATCCATCTCACAGTGCCACTCCTGCTGGCCCCGGAGATGAGGTGGCTCGGGGCATCGCTGGAGAGAAGTTTGACATCGTCAAGAAATGGGGCATCAACACGTATAAGGTGGGATTCAAGCACCTCACCCTTCTTCAAAATTCCCTCTGGGTAGCCCCTTCCAGATCCTAATATCCCACCTATGACTGAGACTAGGAGCCTGGGGATGCTGGGGTAGATACCTGTGGGGGGAGAGAGTGCTAGGGTCTCTGACCTATTCCCCCACTTCCCAATCAGTGCACAAAGCAGCTGTTATCTGAGCGATTTGGCCGAGGCTCCCGGACTGTGGATCTGGAGCTAGAGCTGCAGATTGAGTTGCTGCGTGAGACGAAGCGCAAGTATGAGAGTGTCCTGCAGCTGGGCCGGGCACTGACAGCCCACCTCTACAGCCTGCTGCAGACCCAGCATGCACTAGGTGATGCCTTTGCTGACCTCAGCCAGAAGTCCCCAGAGCTTCAGGTGCCTCAGCCAGCCAAAGAGGGTGGGGGGACTGGGCCCAGGCCCTCCCAGGAAGTTGCCCTTCAGCCTCCCTCCCTCACTCCCTCCCTCCCTCCTGCAGCCCAGAGGGAGAACCCCTCCAGGGTGGGCCCAGCTCTGCCCCCAGCAGCACCTATCTGTGGAGGCAGCTTAAGGGTTTGTACAGAAGTCTAGAAGTTGGGGGGTGGGAGCTGCACCTAAGGTGCCTCACAAATAACTCTTCTCTGCATTGGCAAGAAAGTCTTGGGTGCTCAGCCTAATTGGAGCCCTTCCTCTGCCTGCTGCACTAGCTTTCCCTGTTCTAGTCCTGTGAACTTAATCCCCACATCCCTACCCCAGGCACCCCCAGGTGACCCCACTAACTTTCATGCTAAGAGAGCCTTACTGAAGGTAGTTCTTGGTTGGTCCAGTTTTGATGGCTGTTTGCTCCCTGGGGAGGAGGGGAATGAAGGGCCCTACAGCTCCAGTCAGGTAGGGACTGTGGCTCAAGGATTCTCCTCCCTTCTGCCCTCAGGAGGAATTTGGCTACAATGCAGAGACTCAGAAGCTGTTGTGCAAGAATGGAGAGACACTTCTAGGGGCTGTGAACTTCTTTGTCTCTAGCATCAACACATTGGTTACCAAGACCATGGAAGACACACTCATGACTGTCAAGCAGTATGAGGCCGCCAGGTGTGGGCACTGGCAGGTTCTAGGGTTTGGGGAGTTGGCTGGCACGGGAGGAAATTTGAGCATTAGGGGCACAGAAATTCAGGAAGGAAAAGAGTTATGCGTGGAGGACAAAGGGGTGGAGACCAGCTTATATCGCCCCCTCCCCAGGCTGGAATATGACGCCTACCGAACAGACTTAGAGGAGCTGAGCCTAGGCCCCCGGGATGCAGGGACGCGCGGTCGACTTGAGAGTGCCCAGGCTACTTTCCAGGCCCATCGTGACAAATACGAGAAGCTTCGGGGAGACGTGGCTATCAAGCTCAAGTTCCTGGAAGAAAACAAGGTGCCAACCCCACCCTTTTCACCCCAGCCCACCTTTTTGTCCATAACACTGTCCTTATCCCCAGACTCTCCCCAACATTGGATCAGGGAAATGCAGCCTGGCTAAGGATCTATGGGATCTTCTCCAGCCCCCTGCACCTGTGGACCTTTCCAAAACCATCCCTTTGATCCTTAGCCCTGTTTTGTTGGAAGAAGGTTGCTAGTCCCCGGTCTATAACTGGGGAGAAAATCACTCCCTGAACTGGGCACCAGAACCCTGGCTCCAGCAAGTCGTGTCAGATTGACCTTTGTCCTTCGACTCCCTTGGAGGAGGTCGCCCCCTCCCACCCCAAAAGCACCATCAGAGCAAAATCCATATGTCAGGGCCCAGGCTCAGACTCATGGCCCCTCAAAAAGGGCGTGAGTCCAGCCTCAGTTGACCTTGCTGGACCCCCCAGATCAAGGTGATGCACAAGCAGTTGCTGCTCTTCCACAACGCCGTGTCCGCCTACTTTGCTGGGAACCAGAAACAACTGGAGCAAACCCTTCAGCAGTTCAACATCAAGCTACGGCCTCCAGGAGCTGAGAAACCATCCTGGCTAGAGGAGCAGTGAGCCGCTCCCAGCCCAGCCTGGCTATCAAGCAGGACATTGGGAGGGGCAGTCCCAGGGTGGGGAGACTGGACATGGGACATCCCTTGCCACCTGCCCTCCGACTTGGGCTCCCTTTCCCTGGCTGGGCCTGATACCAGTTTTGCCCACACTACTATGGGTAGGGAGGGGACCTGCAGGCCCAGCAGCTGCTGCCCTGTTCTTTATCTTCCTGGGCTTCATTCCCAGATCTTTTCCTTCCACTCCACAGCCAAAGGCTATGACAAAACCACTCCCTGGCCAATGGCATCACTCCTCAGGCCTATCCCCAGCTCCTGGGGTGTGCTCCCTGATCAATGTCAGAGCCTCAAAAGGCCCTGTCAGCCAATGGCAGCTCTTCCTGGGCTCCGCTGGGCCAATGATGTTGCCTCCAGTACCCTTTGTTCCTCCGTTATGTGTGCCCACTGCAGAAAAGGGGACTGGGACCAAAGGGGTGGGGATACTGGGGGAGCCCCATTTCTGGCCCTGCATCGGAATGGGCCTCCCCTCACCTACTCACCCAGTTTAATTGTGCTTAGAGTCCTGGAAGACGGGGACCTAGCACTAGGAATAAACCTTTCATAAAAGCAGGCCCAGTGAGGTCAATTTATGGGGGGACTTTAGGAGGGTGGGTTGGGTGGAGAAATACTCAGTGTAATCAGACATCAGCTGGGGGCAGACAGCTGAAGTCACAGGGTTTAGAAATAGTGTGAAGATCTACTCTTCTCCCCAGCCCCAGTGTAAGTCAAAGCCTT